AGATGAGACACAGGAACCTGCATTCTTAATGAGGAGCGCAAGTGAGTCTGACAGAGATGTAATCCTCACATCACACTTTTATAAGTCCTGCACTACACCACAGCACCACTCCACTCCCAAATTCATCTAATTTTACACACAAAATATCCTCTACACTAAAAACATACTGTGCTTTTCTTTCATGGAATACTTTCCAATCAGAGACTCTGGATTTTCTTGCTCCTTGTGAATTCCCTGAAAAATCCCAAATAAGGCTTTTCTGTTCTGCTTTACCAAACACACACAGCACAGTACATATTATTTACAACTTCAAAATGGGCATTGGTTTTTTCATTAGACAATGTGTTGAGGGAGGCAAGAAGCACGTAACTGTTACTTCCTTCAAAATTTTAACTTAGAGAAGTGAAAATCTGAAAGTCAAACAAAAAAGACTGTGTAAATCAAAACCTCACTTACCTCTGGCTCCTGTCAAGCATGTCAACTGTAAATCTGGGGGGGGGAAACCTTAGAAAACCAACCATCCACTTAAGGAAAACGTTCTGTGCATTTAACATAGGTTCAAAATGTAAGTAAGTGCTATCAGCATTCTATGTGGACTTTTTTTTTAAGATGGAGTTTCACTCTTGTTGACCAGGTTAGAGCCGCAATAGCGGCTCACTGTAACCTCCATCTCCTGGATTCAAGTGATTCTCCTGCTTCAGCCTCCCGAGTAGCTGGGATTACAGGCACCTGCCATCATGGCTGGCTAATTTTTTTGTATTTTTAGTAGAGACGGGTTTCATCACGTTGGCCAGGATGGTGTCGAACTCCTGACCTCAGGTGATCCACCCACCTCGGCCTCCCAAAGTGCTGGGATTACAGGCACAAGCCACCACGCCCAGCCTATACAGACCTTAGTTTGAACTATTTCAAGTTAAAATTTGGGTCATGAGGATTGTTTTGCTGTTTCAAAATCAAATTTGGAGAGTAAATACATTCAAAATATTTTTAAATATACATTTTGTTTTATAGTTTCTGGTTCACTTACAGTTATGATCACTTATAAAAATGAATTAGAGTTCAAATATAAATTTCCTTTATAGCTCAGAGTCATCTAAGAAGTCTTAGTGTAACATAAAGCTATAGATTTCTAAGTAATTGAAAGCAGTATCACTGTTTACCAGTAAAGACATACATTTATAACAAAATGGAGAAAAGAAAACCAAAGCTTGAATGAACAAAAGGTAAACATTTTCTTTTAATACACAGAAGAATTCACCATTCAAGAACTGATATTTGAAACAGTTCATTTATGTATATAAACATACCTTTGGGAGTATACATGCCTTGTTGCATAGAACCTCCAGGTTCAAAAACAGGAGCCTTAAAATCAGCTACAGCTGATAAAACTGATTCAAAGCTGTAACTGCCTGGAATAATGCCACTTTTGGGATTAGGATTTTCTGGAATATGATATATATGTCAAGAAAAAATATTAGCAACAAAAAGCCAGATTTATAGCCTTTCCAAGGTACTCTAGTTTCTCATTTTGCTGAAGTAGGCAAATAGTAATTGGCTGTAATATACAGAGCTGGCCACAAGAGGGCTATATAACACAACAGTTCAATAATAACTTTTTAATTGTGATTTTTGAAAATATGTTTAATCTAGGAGCCTACTAATAAATTGTATGCTGTAGTAGTTCCCAGGTATATTTTCCCCGAAATAAATTTAAAAATTTCAGAAAATGACTGAAAAATTTCTAAAAATGTGTCTTCATTTTCATCATTTTGCAAATAACTTTTCCTTAAAAAACAGAAAGAACTTGCGAAAAATTAGCAGATTTTTATAGCAAAGATTGTTTTTCCAAAAAACACAAAATTTCACCCCCAAAGAAAAAAATGCTAAGCAAATTTAAGCAAAGAGGCTAACCAAAAAGATTCTCTCCTCACATTACACAAATCTTTAAAATTCAAAATACAGAGATCATTTTTACTCTATAATAAACTGATGCATAGTTCATAATGACTGAAGGAACTCATCAGACAATATCAAATTGATGCTGCTTACAAAAATCAAGGTTGTCAAATAGGCATTCTAATAGGACTTATTTCACAAAACAAAAATTTTAGCCAATTCTTCCAAACATAGTCATAAGATATACAAATACTAAATTTAGCCAGAATTTTTATCACAAAATTACTTGATAATCTTGTGTAAAATTTTATTAACATTAACTTAAAAAGATAATCAGATACTCATTGTATGTTCAGTCATATACAAAGAACCACAGGTTCCCTGTTTGTAAACAATAATCTACAAACAAAAATGCTTTAAGACCAAATTCTACAGAAAAACCCTCAAAATGTTTAAAATCCTGGTAATAATAATCTTAAGGTGTACCTTTAACTGTTCACCATGAATTGCATCCTGGCTACACAGACAAAATAGACCTAGCTGCCTTTTACAAAACCTTCAGTAATGTTGTCCTAGAAGGTTAAATGCTGGGGTGGCCAAAGCCATCAATCTGTCCTGAAATCTACTCTAAAGTCCAAGAAGAGTTCCCCAAGAGGTAATAATAGGAGGTAAAAAAAAAAAAAAAACAGTCACCAGCACTGAATACACACTTGAGCAAACAACTGGCATTCTTCTTTTTCTGTTATTTTTCAACTTTGAAAAACAATTAATCAAAAAATTGATAAACCATTAATCATAAAAATTACTTATTTTAGATCCTGCAACTAACAGAAACTAAAATTTTAAAAGGATATGAGGTCCAGCAATGAACTGTGTGTCCTGTCATTCATACACAGCTGGGCTACCATCTCCGCCCTGAGAATCTCATCATCAGACATTCCTAAAATTATTAAAAACAGAATTAACAAATCTGAGTATACATAAATTATAAAGAAAAAAATTACCACATTTTTCATTAAGCTGTTTTACCAAATACAGGATGTTTCAAATTAAAGAGTAAAGAAGCAATGCTCCACACATAACTGCAGTTTAACTGCTATTTACAGTTCCCTTAAGCAAAGGATATTTTAAGGATATTCTAAAAGGTATACCTATAGTACAACATACAAGAGTTTGAAACATTCTTTAAATTTATCTACATCCTTTCCTTTTTTCCCTAAGCCAGTTCTACTACAGGGATGGGGAGAAAGGGAGGAAAACAGTTAATACCTAAGTATTAGTATCAGTGAGTTTTACCTAAATGTAAACGAAGACTCAAAAGAATCACAAGAAATGTAAGAGCGCCTTCTAACATCGACCTCTCATGCTCTGCATCAAGTACTGTATTTTGATGTTGTGATGCCATTGTCAACAAATCCACTACCTTAAATCTACAAGAAGAAATATTTGAAACATATTTTTATAAATTAAAACAAAATTAACTGGACACTTCCTAATATCTGTCTTAATAAAATTATGCCTACCTTTCAAAGACGGATGAAATAAAATAATCTGGGTCAAGTCTAGAAGCACAAACCTTTAAAAGAAAACAAAATGTTTTATTTCTCAATATTCAGTTTTCCTTCTTCTATTAATCATGTTTTTCTATACTTTTTGTTGTTTGTTTTGTTTTGTTTTTTGAGAGAGTCTTACCCTGTCACCCAAGCTGGTGCAATCTCAGCTCACTGCAACCTCCACCTCTGCCTCCCAGACTCAAGCTATTCTCAGCCCTCAGTCTCCCAAGTAACTGGGATTACAGGCGTGTGCCACCACAGCTGCCTAATTTTTGTGTTTTTAGTACAGACAGGGTTTCAACCTGTTGGCAAGGCTGGTCTCAAACTCCTGGCCTCAAGTGATCTGCCTGCCTTGGTCTCCCAAAGTGCTGGGATTACAGGCGTGAGCCAACACGCCTGGCCATGATTTTTATTTTCTGTATGTTATAATGTTTTGACACCTTGAGGGGCCTTACAGACCTGAAGACAGATACTCCCTCCCAGAGCCAGCTAATTCCTAAACATAATAAACAACTTACTTGGGAACATGCCCATCATGAAAGCCAATCATTGTCTTTATCTAACTCTCATACATCAACCCAGTATTTCCCCTGCTCTAAATCAATCCAGGGCCAGGTACCACAGAGTCAAGTTCAGCCCCTATGCCTCAAAGCCTGCTGGAATTATTCGAACTAGCCAATCCTGCCTTGCCTTACTTTTCCCGTAGAAACCCCAATAAAGGCTCTTGCCTAGGCTCTCCCCTCACTCCTTTCTGCCTCTTGACCAAAACCTGGTGCTTTCCTTGTAGTCTTGTGTTGGGTGGTATGCCTCTTCTCCTGGGAAATGTAAGTAATAAATTATTCTTTCAGTGGCATCGGTCTCTCCATGTCATCACTCAGTCACCTCTATAAATTAAAATCCCTTGGGTACAAATGAGACACTTCTAAAGTATATCTGCATTATCTAGTTGGCTTACCTGTAACAGGTAAATGTCAGGATCAATCATGGAATTACAAAAATGAGACTGGACATAGGTCATGGCTTGTCCTTTGATTTGTAGACCATTTCTTACCCACATATTGCTGTGGATTTCAGCAAGACTTGCCTAATAAAAGTAAATTGGACAAAGAATAAATTATCTAAACTCAATCCTTACAAAATATTATAAATAACCATTTCAAAATAGTTAATGATGTAATCATAGTATGAGCCCGATATTCTGTCCAATGTTAAAGATAATCAGTTGAAATATACACTTCTACATTTTTTTTTAACAATAATTATGTTTTTACATAGCCAC